TGTTCTGTATATATTGAAATGAATTTATGAACTGGCCGCTTCATTGAACTTCCATTAGCCTTCTTGTTACTACTCGTGTAATTTTCTGATGGGTGTATTTTGATTATTTTTGCCAGAGGCCATTTTCTAGGGTTGATATCCTCATTTTTATCAAGACTAGCTCTCCAATTTCAACCGATTTTCTAATGTTTTTCTATTTGTATCGTTGTTGAAGTTGGTGCAAGTAATATGACGAACATTTTTTCCATATATCCATCTTAATTTTTTGTACTTTCTTCTTCTTCCTTTGGTTGTTTTAATTTGTACTGGACCGGCATAGTCTAACTCTGTATATAGAAATAGGTATGATGAAGAAACTCTGGCTGCTGGAAGATTTTCCATTAGGTGTTCCGCTGTTTGACCTCTAAAACGGATGCATTTTACACATCTACTAATTATAGTTTCTAGTGCTCGCTTCCCATTAATGATCCAAAACTGTTTCCGCGTGTTAGCTAATATTATTTGATTTTCTCCATGGAGAGTGTTGTGATGAGCATTTAGAATGATTAATTTCGTGAGCGAACAGTTATAGGTTGAAATTATGGGATGCTTTGTCTCATGTGGCAACTGCGATTTTTCAAGTCTTCCCCCGACACGCAAAATTCCTTTACCGTCTTGGAATGGAAACAAGTTTAAGATTTTACTGGTTTTACTTACAGCTGACTTTTCTTGTAGTGCTTGGATTTCATTGGGGAAATATATTTGCTGTTCGATTTTGACAATAGCTTCTAGTGCATCTTGCAATTCCTTTACCGATAGACGTTCGGTATTCTTCACCTTCGTTTTGCAGTATTGGATGAAACGCTTGAAAAACTAAATTACCCTTATTAGTTTATTCAGTGTAGAGAATCTTCTAATTATTTTGTCATCTGTTTGGCATCTGTTGGAAACTATGTGACATGCGTTGATTTCTTCAGGTATTGGATCGATTGTTGTTTCGCCTTCTGCCTGCTCGGTCATATTTGATTTTAGCCATGGTGGACCTTCCCACCACACATCATTTGACTTATTGGTTTAGACGGTTGCATCCCTCTTGAGACGATCTGCTGGGTTGTGTTCAGATGTGACATGCCTCCAGCAGTCTTCTGCTATAAGATCATTGATTTAAGCCACTGTGTTAACACTGTTAACTACAAAAGCTTCCCATTTTTTCGTACTGCCCTTTATCCATGCTAAGGCAATAATGGAGCTTGTCCATGCATGAATATTCGTTTTATCAGAGGATAGAATCTCGACTGTTCTTCTCAAAAGTTTTGCTAGTAGCAGTGCTGAACATAGCTCTAGTCCTGGAAGAGTGGCTAGCATCTTTGCCAAGGCTACTTTTGATTTGGCAGTTAATAACGGAAAAGACCAATATCAACTTAGAACTAATAAAGGCAGTAAAAACGCTCTATAGTGATGCAAAGACCAAGATTAAACAAGGAAACTTAATCAGTAAAGGCTTTATAGCAACTAAAGGACTTAAACAGGGATGCTGCATATCACCAAAACTTTTCAAAATATACTTAGAACAAGCGCTCAAAGGGTGGAAAAACAAATGCAGACACATGGGAATACCGCTCAATGAATACAATCTTTATACTTTAAGCTTTGCAGATGATCAAGTATTAATTGCACAGGACTATGATGACCTAGAGTACATGACACGAAAATTGATAGAGGAATACGAGAAATGGGGTTTGGAAGTAAATTTAACGAAAACAGAATACGAACAACGAAATCTGAAATTGAATAACGGACAAGAAATAAAACGATGTTCTGAATACAAATATTTGGGCATGAAAATCTCACACGAGGGAACCCTAGACGAAGCAATTAAAGATAGGAATATACAAGGACGCAAGGCAATATCCCTACTAAATGGTGTACTGTGGGATCAAAATATCAACAAAACTAACAAAACGAGAATATACAACACCATAGTCAAAAGCATAGTCACGTATAGTTCAGAAGTCTGGCCACTAAAGATCAGAACCGCAAAAATGCTGGAAGCAACTGAAATGGACTTTTGGAGGAGATCGGCAGGCAGTTCAAAAATGGAGAGGATAAAAAATCTGAGAATTAGGGAGATTATGGACGTAAAACACACAATAATAGATGATATAAAGGACAAACAGTTGATTTGGTTCGGACATGTACAAAGAATGGCAGATACAAGAATACCCAAGCAAATAATCGAGTGGAAGCCAGGGGGAAGAAGAAGACGCGGCAGACCAAGAAGAAGCTGGAGAAGTGGAGTAGACGAGGAAATGAAAGACAGAGGCCTAGAAGAGGATGCCTGGATTGACAGAGATGGTTGGAGATCGGGAATCGGAAGACGTAGAACGTTATAAACCGATAATTATACAGGATGTATATTTCAAGTGATACCACTATTGCTATATCCGAATCGGTAAGAGCTACAAGGTCGGTTAAATTAGAAAAAAGTTGCCTTTTTTGATGCCCATTCAAGATTCGTTTACAGTGTTGCCAAGTTCTTTTTAGTTTATGAAATACAGGTTCATAACTAGGGCCGAATTAAGGTAAAATTTTGGTAAAAATCACTAATAGTCACTTTTTAGAGCAGAAACGTCGGCCAATCATACTTAAGAGGTATATCATTAAAGACGGAATAGAGGGCGTTTTCTAAAAATGACATAAAAATTCCAGGTCCGTATTTAAAAAAATAAAGTTGATGATGGTAGCTCGATCACGAAACGTCGGATTTGAAATTTGAAGATGCCATGTTGTAGAGCGAAAAAAATTATAGAACTTTCAAATTGAAATGGTGTCTCGAATATCAATAGTTTTCGAAATAATTGATGAAATAATTTTGAGCGTTTTTTGGAAATCACCCTGTATTTCATAAACTAAAAGGAATTTGACAACACTGTAAGCAAATCTTGAAAAGGCATCAAAAAAGGCAACTTTTTTCTAATTTAACCGATCTTGTAGCTCTCATCGTTTCGGATATAGCAATAGTGGTATCACTTAAAATATACACCCTGTATATACCTATATAGTTAATAACGTAATTCCAACATCTGTATTAGTTGCCAGTATTTTCATATATACCACTCCGCCATATGCTTTTTCAGATGCATCACAGGATCTATGTAGGCTCCCAGGAATTTGGTTAGTCCATCATGGTGTCACGATTTTGTCTACGTTTTTCAATTCTTTTTGGAATGTCTTCCACTTCAACTGAATATTTTCCGGTAGGTCATCATCGCAACTTAACTTTTGTAGCCATAGATCTTGTATTAGAAACTTCGCCTTTATGGTTACCGGGGCAATCCGCCCAAGTGGGTCGAATAGCCTCGATACTTCGGATAGAATCTTTCTCTTTGTTATTTTTGTGATTGCTGATATATCTACCATAAAATGGAACGTGTCGTCACGAGGTGCTAAATGAATGCCAAGTGACTTTTTTGTCTGATCCTCAGTTATCTCCATCATACTCTGATCTCTCATTTTTTCTGGGATCGACTGCAAAACTTCCATGCTATTTTTTGACCATTTTCTAAGGACCTATCCTCCAGCCAGAAACAATTCAGTGAGCTGAGTTTGGAGCTGTATTGCGTCCTTAATGGTATTGGCCCCTGAAAATAGGTCGTCGATATAGAAATTAGGTCTGGTAGTCTTGAATGCCTTCGGGAACCTTGATTCCTCATCTCTTGCTAAACGCCGCATGGCTAAATATGGAGCAGCAGTGGTTCCGTATGTGAGTGTTTTTAATAGGTATTCCTGTATTGGTTCCCTCGTATTATATACCCATAAAATTGTTTTTTCTGCATCGCTGGAAATTGCTTTTCTGTGACATCTCCAGTATAGTAGGATGTCTGAGAGCTCCTGTTGAAGTCTTGGTCCAGTTGGCATAGTGTTGTTCAGACCTATACCAGTTGATGTTTTAGAAGCGTCAAACACCACCCTTAGTTTAGTTGTAGTTAGTGGCGGCTGGCCCTGTATATTTACGCTTGTTGATGTTAATGAAATTGTTTATGGCAATTTTGGCATTATTTATTCTCGATGATGACGAAGCATTGACTATTTCTGGGGATGTTCTCTTGATGTTACCCTACTCAGTTGAGATAACGATACCCGGCTTCTCGACGGAACCTTGTCTCTGTCTTAAATCCGGTTCGAAGGATCAAAATTTCTGTTGAGCGATGATGACACTATTCACACATGAAGTGATACGGCAAGGGGTAATTGAGTTTGTAGTGAGAACAACAATGGTTTTCTTAGATACTGATTTTATTGAAATAAATACAGCTATTTATATTAAACTAATCAATACAAAAACCCTATATACATTTATTACATTTAGTATTTTTCTGCTTAGTCCGCATTTGCTGGAGGATAACGACTGGCCTGGTTTTAGTCGGTACTGTCGAGGCTGCTAACTCAACAGATTCCATCGCGTAGGAGAATCGTAACTTGGATTATATTGAATATTCCAAAAAAAGGACTTCTAAATCTAATTATATTATGGATTAGACACTTCCCTTTCAAATCAATCAATCAAATTGATTTGATGACATGTTAGTGTCGCTCAAACAATGAGATATCGCACCTACCTATTATTTGGGATTGTCGAGCAACTTCCTAAATCACTTCAATCAGGGAACAAACAAAAAAAAAGATGAAAGCATCTCACAACTCAGAATGCTCAAGAAACTAGAAGCTTTACGTAGCAAATATCGCAACACGAATAGTGAAATACTGAGTGAAGGTACCAAGACAGCAAGACAGCAATTACATCATAACATACAGAAGTTGGAACGAGACCAAAAATTTCTAAGACAGCAAATGGAAATGATAAGAATCATTCACCGAAAACCCTACAAGACACAATTAGAAGTGAGGACATCACAAAAGTCTGATATGGATGAGACAGCCAAGGAAATACTGGAATAAATATATAAGTAGGCCGAATGCACGATCAACCTGCAACCAAAAACTTTTCATAAGAGCAAATTGTTTATTTTACTGTAAATATCAAATATTTTGTATAAAATAATATAAAATAAAACTTAATAAATAGGTAATTCATAAAAAGGTCCAACCTACTATCTGTCTCCTTCACGTAGTTTTTCTCAAGTTTCAGTTCTTACCATCTTTTTTATGACAACTGAACTTCAATGTGCCATTTGAAGTATTTTGAAGAACGTGCTTTAGTTTAGCAGCATCTTTGCCTAAAAAACTCAAGCTACAGTATCAAAGAATCAATAATTGATTGGTGCAAAAATAGTAGATATAAATTGAGCCCTAAGTATATGTAAGGATTCTGGATGAAAAATAGATACTCAAAAATTACCTTTGAAAACAGTCTTGTGCTCCAAATCAATTACATCGCTCAACGCATCGCCAACTTGTGCGTTTGCGTTATCAGAAAGATTTGTATTCATTGGATTGGGCTTCACTGTGTATTTTATAACGACTTGTTCGTCTAATGGTTTAAAATCATGAACCATCTGACCTAAAATAGTATTCAATTTGAATTATTTTTCTATTGACAGTCGTTTTTGTACCAATGTGTTTTGATTCACCATTGATTCCATCTTTAGCTTGTGTAATATTTCTAGCCTAAAATAATATTAAACAATAATTATTTATTCAACATAATTTTAAGTTTGAATTCACATTTCTCTTTTTCCAGGAGAATATTTTATTCATCTGAGCCCAGATACTTTTCTGATATTGCCTTGGAATATAAGAAATCATCCTTTTTCTTGCACATAGTTCAGCGGTTTCACAAAGCTCAACAGAACCTGGTTTTTGACCTAACGCAAATAACAAATTGTATAGCAGCTTTTCAGCCACCACTAAGTCAAGAAACTATTGAAAAAAGCAAGATTGATTACCTTCACATTCTGAATCTTCAAGAATAATATCATCAGCTCCTTTTTTGGATGTTTCCTGAACACACTCAACAGGCCTCGCCCTAACGCCACCCTTGTTTTTACAGGCTCTGCATTGGCCCCAAGCACCAACTTTCCATCTAAAATTATTTCAGTTATAGGTAGGTATGTGTTCATATTGTCAAGTCAATTTTTTTTATTATTTACTTCTTTTTGCATGGTTGTTCGTTGCAATTTTTTGTCACGGCTTTAGGTTGATCTAATCCGGAACAGAAGTTAGAGCTAACTTTTCCAGCTTTTTCTTCCATGCAATTTATGGTTGCTATTTGGGTACCACCACCGCAAATAAGAGAACAGTCACCGTACTCTCCTATAAAACATTTTCAGTAAACTTATTCTCTAGTGCTAATGAAAATCAGATCAATTAATTTTAAATTATTGTACAACTTGGTACAAGTAGTTGCATTGACAACAACATGCGCTGCTTTAGATTTTACTACCTGTACCACCTGCAAATTATGCTAATTAATTTTACTTGGTACATCGTTTAGATTATGTAGTATGATTCATAATTAATATTTTGTCTACAGCGTAAATAATATGCTGTGCTATTTGTATAATTTATAAAGATTAATTTTTACCAATTTCCCAATGATAATGTGGTTCGTATGTTGAATCAATGCTAGGTTCAGCCCAACTATAAGTATACCCTGGATTTTCTTGTTCAAAAAATGCAATCTGAAAGATGTCATTATTAATGTTGATTCTTTAAACCTTATTATTACTACATACAAATAGCACTATATCCTCTTTAACAGGCCCGCGCATGACAAACCTCTCTCTCCTAGGCTCTATGTGAGTGTATACTCCTATATTTTTGCCGATTTTGTATTCTCCATCTTCAGATTCAGTACTGAAATTGATTGATGTTAATAAATAAGCAATGAAATTTTTTTTTGTCTAACCTGTCTCCATTTAAATAAAATTTCTTTTCAGTGCTATCAGAAATAGCTATAATATTGATAGATGGTGCCATTTCTTCAACTTTCACGTTTTTTGATCCAGCAGGTATTACGACAACTTTGGTGTAACCTAATGGTCAAAGTTAAATGTTAATCCATATACCTATTCTCTGAATGAAATAGAAATACTACCATTTCCAATATCTTTGTAAGTCGCTTCTATAATTCTACATTGAGTTCCATCGCCATTACAAACTCCGCAAAGATCTTCAACAGCTTCGGAGTCGAGGACACTATCACAGCCTACTAGCTGTTAGTAAGTAGAACATCTATCTCTTTTGACCAAAGACATAATATAAATGCGAAAACACTTACTCTACATACTCCAGAAATACACATATTCCTAGTACCAAGTTTGCAAGGAGTTCCATCTTTAACAACAGCTTCGAGCATGCTCAAAACATTTTCTTCGTTGACGCAATACAAAGCGCAAGGTTTGCCTAGTTAAAAACAAGTTTGTTTCAATAAACCGCCATTTTAAAACCGTCCGGAAAAGAAATTAACCAATTTGCGGCCGGAAACTTTTCTCCGCGCGCGCGATTTTCCCGAGCAATTTTCCAAAAGGAATGGCCGGTCATCAAAACGTGACTTACATAAAAAATTTCCGAGTTTCTGAATTTTTGATTGCGGCAATTAAAACTTCATTTAAATTTAGCGGCTGGGAAAAAGATATTTTCTCGTCGAAACTTTTAAAACGACTTAAGTCCGAAGTGATTTGTCAAAAGCGTGATGAAAATATATCATATTTTCAAGTTATTTTTGGTTGAAGACAACAGAAGAATAATGACTATTATTAATTGAATATGAAAAAATACAAGGTTAATTATTTTCTCGTTTAATAAAATTAACTCACTTTCATCAAAACTGGATGTCCAAGTATGAAACTGATTATTCCATGGCTTCGGGTCTTGCTCGGAGCATTGTTGTTGACGGAACGTTGGTGAATCATCAAGGCACGGCTTATTTAATAAAGAAATTAGATGATAGATACACAGTATTAATAAAATTTGTAATCTGAACTGAAGTGATGCCGTTAAGGTGGGGAAACGATCTCATATTTCAAAGATTTCTCTGGAAAATCCAAAAAAATGTTTTATATCACAGTCTGAACTGAAAGCAATAGGAACCAGAGCCATCATAGAAATTGGACCTAAATGCCTGGTCTTACCAGATCCCACTAAAACCTAGTACCAGATTGATAAGGTGTTTTCATTCGGGCCTAATGGCCGTCGTAAGTTGGGATTACTTACTGACGTTTCGCTAGCACGCATGGCTTCTTCTTCAGAGGTGCTTCCATGTCCGATTCTAGTAGCAGACTGACGCATTCTCGACCGTAAGTTGTATTTATGTGTGAGTGGCTGTGGTGGGGAAAGGAGGGGCATCGCGGCACGTTGCTAATCTCAACTTTCCTTTCTCTGTACTCAATGGGATCGTTCTTGCGTTTTTGAGAATCGGGTTCCAGATTGGCTAAAGTTTTAGTGTTTCTTCTTTTGTTGAAGTTCTCAGTATGTTTGTGGATTTTTATAGCTTCACGTACAAGACGATCGTGGATCAGGAAGTCGGTGCAAGAAGCTTGACCTCACCAAAGAGTATTTCATGATCCCCTTCACTAAGCGCAACTGCCGATTTTTCCGATTGTCCTAGGCTACAGTTTCTTTTGTGCTCGTTCATTTTGGTTCCCAAGGATCTTTTTGTCGTTCCTATGTATACCTTACCACATGTGCATGATAATAAACGATAGACTCCAGCGCTCGACAGTGGGTTCCTCTTATCTTTGGCTGATCTGATTGATTGCTGTATTTTCCTTGTTCGCTTGAAGATTGTTTTATGTTGTGTTTCTTCAAGACTTTCCTTATCCAGTCTGTCTCCCGATAAATGAAAGGCAGATATGCAGATAGCCACCACTGGTTGTTCATCCACGTTTTGTCGTGTGGCAGTTTTGGGTGGCATGGCCCTGTCGATTTCGGATGCATTTTAACCATTTGATAGAAAGGCCAACTTGAGGTGATCCAGTTTTTACTCGAGATGTTGTGACTCACAGTTGCGAACACGTTCTGTTAACGTTGTTATAATTCCACGTTTTTGCCTTGGATGGTGATTTGAGAGTGCATGCAGGTACCTATCTGTATGTGTAGGTTTTCGGTACACCGTGGGGCTTGGTTTGCCTCCAGATTTCTTTATGAGCACATCTTAGTGATTTCTTGGTTTTTCTCCTCTTTCATGGTAAATTCTATGCTAGGATGTTGCACGTTCAGGTGGTCTAGGAACTGGTTAAGCTTCTCTTCCCCATGACTCCAAACCACAAAAGTATCATCTACGTATCGAAGCCATACCGTTGGTTTGTGGTAAAAAAAAGATTCGATAGCTTGCCTCTCGAAATCCTCTATAAAGAAGTAAGCTATGACCGGGCTGAGCGGACTTCCTATAGGTACACCGTCCGTTTGCTCGTACAAATCGCCGTTCCACAGGAAGTAACTACCAGTGAGACATGTCTGGAAAAGCTGAACTATGTCATTGGGGAAGATACTTGATATCAGGTCAAAAGATTCTGTCAATGGCACTTTTGTGAATAGGGACACGACCACAAATTGACCAGAATATCCTTTTGTTGAAGAATAATATCCCTAATTTTCCGGACAAAGTAAGTGGAATCCTTGACGTAAGAGCTAGTTTTTCCTATATGCGGTTGGAGAAGCGATGCAAGATGTTTCGCTAGGTTGTACGTTGGTGCTCCAGGTACACTCACTATAGGTCTTAACGGGACTTTCGGCTTGTGAATTTTGGGTAGGCCGTAGAATCGTGGCGGAACTGCTTCTGTTTTTATGATGCCTTTCTTATTCGTGTCTGTTAGGGTAGATGACCTAATCAGTTTGTTAGTGTTCCGGAGTATGGCTTGGTTAGGATCCTTCTTTAGCTTTCGGTAAGTAGATGGATCAAGGAGTTCCTGAATTTTCCGGTTGTAGTTTTCAGTTCCTAACAGGAGAGTTGCATTGCCCTTATCCGCAGGTAGAATGAACATATCTTCCGCTGAATTCAGGTTCTTAATTGCCATTAGTTCCTTCTTAGAGAAATCACTGGTTGGTGGTCGAGCCTTCCGTACAATGTTGGCCCTCTCAATACGGATTTCTCCCGATTCCACATCAGGTAGTGCTCTGATATGGCTGCTTCAATGCTGGGTATAATCTTCTCCGTTGGCAGGTGTTGCGGAGTGATTGCTAAATTACCGCTTTTTGTCAAGACGGCTGTTTCTTCCTCGAAGAGGACTCGATCAGTGAGATTAATAACCAGTCTGGATTTGTCACGTGCTGGGGAATTTCGTATTTGTTTCTTACAGAACTTCTCGCATTTCCAGACATGAGCTTCTTCACTCCAATTCAGTTTATTATCCATACTTGAGTATGAGATGGTATCAATTTTGTTCCAATCCTTTGCCTGTATGTTGTTTCTGAGCGTCAGATATAGGTGAGGTAGTTCTCTATCTACTTCATCAAGATCCTTTTTTGTTTTGTGGATTCACTTCACAGAAGAAATGCTTTTTCAGCTCTGGAGTAGATGCGATGTGCTTGGGGTGTCTTGAAAGAACGTTTAATCTGCGAGAACGTTGCTACGATGTTAGTGTGTCGGCAGCGAGAGAGAAGAGTTAAATTTACCAATAAGTGTGCCCTGTGTCGTCTAACATTGACTTTCCCTATCCTGTCACCCGACAAATGAAAGGCAGGTATGCATTAGCCATCATTGGTTGTTCATCCACGTTTTGTCGTGTGGCAGTTTTGGGTCGCATGGCCCTTCTGATTTCAGATGCATTGTAACCATCCCATTGAGTACAGAGAAAATTAGGATTAGCCACGTGCCGCGAAGCCCCTCCTTTCTCCCACCTCAGCCACTCACACATAAATACAACTTAAGCTTGGGAACGCGTCAGTTTGCTACCAGAATCAGATAGGGAAGCACCTCTGAAGAAGCCACGCGCGCTAGCGAAACGTCAGGAAGAAATTCCAACTTACGATGGCCATCAAGCCCGAATGAAAACACCTTATCAATAAACCTGGGCCGCGAAAGCCTCACAAACTAAATAGTACCAGATTACCTAGAACGCTGTGAACATCTTCGCAACCAAATTCGTCCTAACCGCCAACCATTTCTCTAGTGATGCTGCCAAGACGAGAGATTATCGTCTCGCCTCTCATCACATACAGATGCGAAAGAGCGGTGAATTCGTGGTTCAAGGTTATATGTGAACACAACAAGCTGGAACACGCTCGCGCACTATAAATGATTGGCCTCGGAAGATTTGTGACATGCGGCAAGGGAGCCGGCTGCCCTGGTTTCGCAGCTAAGAACCGTCGACGGCAAGGATACTCACTTACGCATTTGTATTTAGGTGATCTAGCCTAAACCTACACAGATTAATTATTGTCGAATCGGATCTTTAGTCATAACCTCAGACTCTCATAGCAGAATTGCGTTCAGTCAAGTCGAATGGAGGACGCGTTGCCGTTATTATAAAAACCTGACTACCATTGCCAGGGCTTTTGTTGAAATATCGAAGGTAACAAACCAAGACATTCACCTGCCACAAAAGATCAATAACGGGTTCAAACTTCGTAACATGGTATACCAAAGGGCCAGGAACGAAATGGATCACGCCTAGTATTTATACTAGATGCGACTTGGTAAAAACTCTCATGGTCTTATACAAAAGAATCCTATGGAAAAACGCTACAAGCTAGAGAGATCACGAACAATTTTTGAAAGCACAAAGGTTTCAAAAGGAGACACTACCAGAATCTGATTGATTATTCAGCGAAACATCCATATTACAATGATCATCAGCTCTATAGAGAGTCCAGTCGCATAACAATTGGTGGAATAGCATAACATCTTCAAAAAAAGGTCAAACTAAAATATCGAGGAGAAGGACGATACTGATCTCCTCACCAGCCCACATGAAGAATCTCGATCCATCCTCCAAAGATTGACTTATCAAGAAGGACCTCAGGCATCTCAGGTACATTTTCAATGCTTGCCTAAGAACAGAATATATTTCCCAACGAGATATTAAGAGGCCAACCTACATTTACGAAAAACCTTAGAACAATGGAAAACCACTCACAAATTTCCTTACTTGACTTGGAGGAAAATATCTTTGATAAACTAGGTACTGCAAGAAAGGGTTTGTCAACCACTTGGAGAATGACAAAATACTAGAACCTACCTACCAAAACCATTTGGTTACAGGCCTCGAAGTTTAGCAAAACTCCAACTGTCAAGAGTGATCCATTTCGCCATTGATGTTAACAATATGAACCAAACCACTACAACGGTCATACTTGATCAAGTAAAGGCTTTCGAAATCGAGATGTTGATGTAGGGGTGTAAGATGCAGGAGAAACGGAATCAACAGCCATAGGTACTGCTGGAGACGTAATTGCCAACGTGCAAGAGGACCTTATGGATCCTTTAAACGATGAAGCCATAACAAGGATGCGTGATCAGTGATAACGATAAAATGGATGTGATCTCAATAGTGAAGCAACTTCTCAACAGCCCAAATGACAGCAAGACATTTCTTCTCGGTGACAGTCAGTTTCATCTCTTGCTTGGTTAAAGACCTTGACAGATAGCAAACGACCTTTTCACCCTCCTTGTGTTGTTGAGATAAAACAGCTCCCAGCCCATAATTAGAGGCATCGATTTGTAAATAAAACATCCTGTTGAAATCAGGCGCAGTTAGAATTGGAGCAGTGACTAAACATTCTTTGAGGAATGTGAAAGATGTCTCGCAATCTGGAGTCCAGGTAAATTTAACGTTCTTTCTAGTTAAATTAAGAATGAGTGCTAACGCCGAAGAAAATTTTGGGACAAAACGCCGATACCAGGAAGCAGTTCCCACAGATCTGCGAACTTCATTGATGTTTTCCGGTGTTGGAATGTTGACTATAGCCTCAACCTTTTCTGAATCAGGGTGTAACCCTTTCTTATCAATCAGATAGCCCAGGTATTTCAATTCTGGCTTGCAGAAGTGACATTTCTTTAACGAAATGGTTCGAGCTCTAGACCAAGGATAGTGTCAATGATTCTTTGCCAGGTTGCAGGAGCATTGGATGAGCCAAATGGCATCCGACAGAATTGGAAGGTTCCTCTGCTAGGGACAGTAAATCCAGTGTACTCCTTGGAAGATGTACTCAAAGGGACCTGATGAAGGGATGCTGACTGAATATCGATGAAGCTGATATATCGCGTCTGCCTTAACCGATCTAAAATGGTTGAAATTTATGGAAGAGGATATGCGTCTTTTTTTGTAAATTTATAAAATCGATGCAAAATCTAAAAGATCCATCTTTTTTCGGAGCAAGGCACACAGGACTAGACCAAGGACTACTAGAACGCTCAATGACTCCTTCAACATTTCCTCAACTTCGTCATCTATAAACTTTTGTTTGAAGGGCGGATAACCTTTGTTTTATGGGTCTTGCACCAGGATCTATAATGATTTCATGCTCAGCTACCTTGCAGCAACCGAGTCCACTACCCATCTCTGCAATTTTCTGCTCTACAAGGCTGTCTAGAGCAGATCGTTCTGACGGAGTCAAATTGTCTCTATCTTGGATACACAAAATATCAGTCTCACCAGCAGACTTAGAAAAATGCCAAACATCTTGACTAAGATCTGGGATAATTTTCATGGTTTTCCAGAAGTCTATTCCAAGAATAATTTTATGTGAAAGTTCAAGAAGTACGATGACATCAATAATGTGAGTTTTGTCCATTAAGGTTATGGGTGTCTGAATGTAACCTATGCTTGTGCAAGTTTGGCCATTAGCCACAGTGCAAGAATTTTGTTGTTTTACCAACTTCAAACCTAAGCTTAACAGAGTTTCATATCCAGGCAACCCAACCAGAGTACGACTAGCACCTGAGTCAAATAGACCTAGGATATTTCAATATTTTAATTTCAAGGTATGGACGCTGATCACCTTGCGCTTGCGCATGTGATATAATGTAGTCCAGAAGGAGCCTATTACCAAAATCATCAAGGTTATTGGTCAATGGGGTGTGAAGGAAAGAAATCCCGTGACTTAATGATTTCCCCTGGGACTGTTTCCCGAATTACCACATTTAGAACAATTCCTAACTGTGACATATAGGGATACCACATCGATAGCAATGGGTTTTCCTAGGGTTAGGACAATCTCTATTTAAATGAACGGATTTCTGACAATTCCAACAAATTAAATTGGGTGAATTACTTTGTGGTCTTGACCTTTGAGGACCATTGTTGGGTAAATCTACTCTGTCAATACCAAAGGAATCTGCATCATTGCTCAAGATAGAATTCGTCAAATCGGAGTTAGGTTGGTCTACCCCAACAAAGGCAAAATCGGGTTCTACAAATTGTTGACGTTTTCTGGAAGGTGAAACATCATGTTCAACTCTATATTTCTTTGTCTCCAGCTTAAGACATTCACGCTCTAGTTCTTCAAGTGAGTTAACAACTGAGAGTTGAGTTGTATAGGTACGTTAGTAAAAGAGAGAGAAAAAAAGTATTCTACCGCAAGGGCAGAAAACCTGTTAATTCAAATGGCGGCACCACGTTGGGCGCCAATTAATTAGCCTCACTTTTTCGGTAATGAAAAGTTTTAGAAAAAAAATAAAAATAAAATAAAATACAATGGACATTTGAGATTGCAGGACTGAAGGTCGAAGTGCGTGCAAATTATGCCTTCGCTCAGAATTAAACAATTCGGAGAGTAGGAGGTGGGCTTATTTTTGGGCGCCACCGACTTAGGACAGATGAATCCGACTCTCCAGGATGTTATCTGGCTCCAGGTCCTTACAATTCAAATAATAAAAAAAATAATATCCAAGAAAAGCTAGAACTATAGTGTGTTTTTTTTTTAAAGATAATTCCCCAAGTCAAGAATTTAGTAACTTTGTTGGCAACACAAGCCTTTTCTACATAAAAAATTTGAAAGCATTGACAATTTTACATTGTATTGCCAACATAATGTCATTTTGAATTTTATCTTTAAAAAAAAAAAAACAGACTTTAGGCTGAGTGCATAAAACCAAATAAAAGTCAATATGAATCAAGTGAAGTGCTTTAGTCTGTTTATTAACTAATTGTGGTTATAGTCCACAATGAAACAATATATGTATTGAGATAATAATAATAAAAAAAATAAGCAAGTAAATTAGCAATATTACCAATCAAAGACTGAAAAAGTACCTATTTAAGAAAAGAGAAACACTTGAAATGTCAATAATTAATAAATAAAGTGACCGTTTAATGAAAATCGAGGAAAATCATTATTCATCACAGGAACTAGTAACAAATGAAAATAGAATTTGAATATTGAAAATTAGAAAATTTACAAGATCTGCAATTACTATAATTATTGTGGAATTTCTATAGAGGAAAAAAGTAAACAAATTTAAAGGAGTTTTGAATGGAAAATTAAAAAACATTATGATCACGAAATCCATGAAATATGAAACCCTTTCCAACAGTACATATCGGCAACCATCTGTTATAATTTAATTTACCGTCGGATTGCAAATTTTAATTTTGCGCCTCTCCCCTTGACAAAATCTTCCCTTATTTGCAGGTACCGGATTATTACAGTCTCTCTCAGAATAAGAAACACCTCCTCCGCAGGTTCTTGTACAATCTGTCCAAGAACCCCAATCGCCCCATCCTCCATTGATAGCTTCAGGTCTTGCACCCATTTCGATGCACTTCTTTTTGAAGCACCACTTGAAAAAATTATGGTACAGTTTAGTTCGAAAGGAAAAATATAGGCGTCTTCCAGGAGACTTTAATAGGTTAAACGCTGCCAACGTGTTAAAAAACTAAGTGAAAAAACGTGTAATTTTAATGGCAGTATAATGGAAAGCGTGATAAAGAGAAAACTTAAATAAACTGGATCTCGGAATAAACAGCACGAGACCCAACAGAATAGTAGCTTATTTCGGCCGAACACGAGGATAGATCCAAACAAAAGTAAGGAAACTTAAATTGGTTTGATGTCATGCAAGGGGCTTGAAATCTACATAGTGGACATAAATTATAATTTGGATGCCGACTCATATAAATTTAAAATATTTATGCTCTTTTTTGTAAAACTCTAGATCCTCTAGGAGACATGTTTTGTAACTTCTTAATGACAAGCTTTCATCCAGGTTTCCATACTTTTGGGTTTCATTTACTTATGTAACTTTAAGTCTTAGTTTGCAAAAAATCCAAATTGTTTCTTACATCAAATTCTAACAATAATGACGTTTATCGGTAATGTTTGTTTTCATTCTCACCTTATTCTCTCCACACTTCGTTCCGTCAGCAGCTATATCGTTTTTTCCGACACATTCCTTTTTGTTAATTTGGCATACAAGATGTTCGCAAACTTTCTCCTTTAATCCTTTGCAAACTCCCGTACTTGCGGGTAGCATAAACTTGCATTGTTCGCTGGCATCGTAGACGACGCCGGGCATATTGTCGCTGAATGGGTACAAATTGAAGTCGGGGATGTCGCTCAGACATTGGCCCAGATTGTTACTGTGAAGGAAATTAACGATGTATTTTACATCATTAGGCAACCTAGCAAATAGCAGCGGAACTTTGATTTATACTATAAAAGTTCACTTGCATAAGCTTATTGGGAAACTAAGACAATCATTAAATGTTAAACAATCCCTTTTCTTACATTAATGTCTTTACATAAAAGACGTCAAAAGGTTACCAGCATCTAAGGTTGATGTTTCTGGCTCAACATCATGCCAATAAACATCATGTGATAATATTTTTCATATTCAATTGTTATTTTTTCATGTGCCAGATGACTCCAGCGTGTGTTAGGATTTCTTTTTGCTAGCGTACCGAATAAAACTTATGTAATAAATTGTGAGACAGTTAAAACAGTCCAAATAGTCTAGGAAAATAGTCGAAAAATACATGTATTGCAAAAAAAAAATCCTACCAAAATGAACTTTTCAGGAATGATAGGAGGCGGGTGGGTGATCATAAAACCGAAAATATCAAACATCCACCCCTCTGGCGTTTTGCGCTATAGGGGTTGAAAGTGCGCCATTGGCGATTACTTCGTACCTAATGATTTACAAAAAAATGTTTCAAATAAAAGATGTGCAAAATTATTTGATCTACAATGTTTGTCTAAAGACTTTTTTGATTAAGGGCCGTCTGTGGTCATAAGGGCCGTTTGAAATTTTATAATGAAAATGGAAAATTTCAACCAATGTGAAAAATTTTTCTACAACACATACAACATTTTTGCTCTATGAAGTTTTTAGTCACCCCCTGCCATTTTTCAATAGGGGTAGTTTAAAGTTTATTTATTTTTTCACAAAAAAAAATTCCCTATAAAATTTTTATAAGATTACATTTCCTACAATTTTTCTTAATAAACTTTTTTTGTAACTCACCCCCATTCAGCGGGGGGACACTTCCCTTAGGGAGTTAGTTTTTAGGGGTATATATTAATTTTTTTTTTCTTTTCTCGCCTTTAGTGCATATAAAAAGGTGCAATTAACATTGTATTAAAAGGATTTTTTTTCCACCACCTTTTTGTTTTTAGGGGTAGTTCGCCTATTTTTAACTTTACGAAAAAAAGTTATAGAGAAAAAATTGCTCAAAATAATAAAATGAACAAGTTTTCCCTTAATTTTTTTTTGTAAAGTTGAAAATAGGCGAACTACCCCTAAAAACAAAAAGGTGGTGAAAAAAAAATCCTTCCAATACACTGTTAAGTGCAACTTTTTATATGCACTAAAGGCGAGAAAAGAGAAAAAAAAATATATACCCCTAAAAACTAAAATTTCCCCGAGGGAAGTGTTCCCCCGCTGAATGGGGGTGAGTTACAAAAAAAGTTGATTGGGAAAAATTGTAGGAAATGTCATCTTATAAAACTTTTATTGAGAAAATTTTTTTGTAAAAAAATAAAAAAACTTTAAACTACCCCTATCGAAAAACGGCAGGGGGTGAGTAAAAACTTATAAAGCAAAAATGTTGTATGAGTTGTAGAAATTTTTTTCACGTTGGTTAAAATTTTTCATTTTCATTATGAAATTTCAAACGGCCCTCATGACCACAGACGGCCCTTAATCAAAAAATTCTTTAGATAAACATTGTAGATCAAATAATGTTGCACATCTTTTATTTGAAGCATTTTTTTGTAAAATCAATAGGTACCAAGTAATCGCCAATGGCGCACTTTCAACCCCTATAGCGCAAAACGCCAGAGGGGTGAATGTTTGATATTTTCGGTTTTATGATCACCCACCCTCCCTCTATCATCCCTGAAAAGTTCTTTTGGGTAGGATTTTTTTTTTTGAAAATCGACAATTTTCCTAGACTAAAAAGTTTACAAATAATTATTCTCAACCTCGAAAATCATCATCAGCAGACCAAAATCAAATGGAACTCAACGAAGCGTCAATTCCAAGTTTACAAATCCAACTTTACAAAGGGATTGATTATATTAATTTCCTTTGATATCGCTTCAGTGACTAGTGGAGTAGCTGTGGCAAAAAATAGACTACGTCGCTCTCCAGCTTTGTGTAATTAATGTAGTAATGTATACAGGGTGATTCAAATTCGATGCTCACCATCAGAATCTCGGAAACGGAAAGACATACGAGTTTTGTTAAATAAGGCAAAGTTGTACAATTTTTGCTTTCAATTAGAATATGCCCAATACATCCGACAAAATGGATGTTTTACCGTTCCAAGATTCCAATAGTGAACATCGTATGTAATGTAGGGACAAAAAAATTGAAAACTCCTGAAAATTTATACTTACTCCAATAAAGCAGTTATCATGTTCCTGCTACACGACGACCAACGCAAAGTGTAGGTACTAACTGTGGGCGACATTACAAAATACGAACCATCACTATCTTGTACTGAGCACGACGTTTCCTGTCCATCATGATCGGAACCCATCCTATATTGTTAATCGATTGGTATAATAATTCAACAAGATAATTAAATAATAGACTCACAAATGGCCAATTTCATGAGCAACAATAACACTAAGCACAAGTCCACCATCTTCGTTGATACCGCATTGTTCGCGTTCAGAACATGCTCCACCGACGTAGGCCAAGCCGGTAAGGTCACAGTCTTTCTCGCCGTCTCCGCATAGATCGTACCTATTCTAATGAAAATGTTGTTGGTTCTTGGACACGTCGATGGAATATAATTGACTTTATGTCAAATGTGAAATTTGTTTATTCCTATTATAGTCAACCATCCAAGGACCTTTTTTTTCAGTTATACATGTAAACCCCATACTTTGTGAGTGGCTTGCTTACATCAAGTCCTACAACTTTTCCTCTACGACTTTTCTCGGAAATGGCACGTATGCGCGCAGGCGACTCGCAAACATTTTAGGGGTATCGGACTCCCCCAATTTGCCATTATTTTTGTCGGCCAAGTTGAATTCCGTGATTTAGACATAAAAATCAAACAGTATTCGTAAAATTAGATTTACCTACATGTATCAGGAAACATAGCTACGTCAGATCGACATGTTTGCGAGTCGCCTGCGCGCATACGTGCCATTTCCGAGAAAAGTCGTAGAGGAAAAGTTGTAGGACTTGATGTAAGCAAGCCACTCACAAAGTATGGAGTTTACATGTATAACTGAAAAAAAAGGTCCTTGGATGGTTGACTATTACATAGGTACTTATTAAATGAAGCCAAAAAGTAGTAGAGCTTCACAAAACAGGAATCAAAATTTGAAACACAGGTTTCATGCTTAATAAATGATATTCGCTACCAGGCAAACGGCTGAATCCTGATCAGAAACAGAATGAAAGCGTTTAGCTGCAACAATGCAAAGATTAATGAACAATCATCGAAACAAACAGAACAAATCAATTTCTTCCAGCTATCAACGAGATAAATTCCTCACGGAATCGAATTCACATGATGATTTCCCATAGGTAGGCAAAACAGCTGTAATTTAGAGTCAAAGCCAGATATTGCAGAATTAGTCGATAGATTCCTTGAAAGACAATTTACTATGAACGAAAACTCTGAGGATGATATAGATTTTGAAATTTCCATGGCAAATGCCAAGGTGAAAATCATACTATCCTTCCAATAATAACTGGCGTCAAAACCCTAACCTAGTTTGCCAAATGAGCATGGTTTGCAGTAAACCCCAAAACTATACAGACAGGACCAGGCTACTAGACACATAGGCTCAAAGAGGCCAGTTGACTGATACTCATTTCACTGCAGGATCGCCACGTTGGATAATTAATCGTTCCTGCAAGTTATTGAAATGTATGCAGCTTCGGCAGCTATATACAAACACGGCAATTAAAGTAGAAAACCTGCTGAATACAAAAACTTGGACAGAAAGTGGTGATGACGGAGCCAACAGATGAAAAAATGGAAAGGGGCATACAATTACTGTATAAAAACGGATATCCGAAACTGGCAGAAAAGTCATAAAAATAAGAAAGGGAGCAAGGGAGGAAGACCTATGGGAGAGACTAGAGAAACTGAGGCAAGAAACCAAAGAAGACCACTGGGTGGCAATACATCATTTTGAAAAGGGGTGGAATCGAAAGATTGAAGAATGCTATATAACAATCTTCCATGGCGAGAATACACAGGTGATTGTCTACACTAGTAAAACAACAGAGGAACAAACCACAGGACAAGCAAGGAGACAGGACAGACCGCTAGCACTGATTGTTAGACAAGAGGGCAAGGGATTCGCCGAAATAGTTGATTCTCTAAAAGACAAACTACAAAAAACTGAAGCCTCAGAGACAATCATAAAATCGATTAAAAAAAAAAGACAGTGTCCTGATAACCATGGAGAAAAACTGCGCAGCAGCGAGGAAACTGAAGGCTGCGATAGAGGAAACGGGGGAAACCATGAAAGTCGGAAACACTGGGGAGAATACAGAAACAATCCACATCAGAGGCTTAGACATCAGAGCCACTAAAGAGGAGGTAATAAAGCAGGTAAACGAACTGGTAGGACCCTTAGATGAAGAGGACTACAGGATAGGTAATCTCAGACCGAACGCGGGAAACACGCAGGCTGTCACCCTCACGATCACGAATCAGGAAAAGCGGAAGCGCTGCTGAAGCAGCCGTACATCCGTGTAAAGGCCTAACAAGAGGAAGACTGGAGAGGCGCATAAAAGTGCCACGCTGCAATAAGTGTTAGGCGTATGACCATGAATCGGAAGAATGCAAAGGGCCAGACAGGAAAAACTACTGTTACAAATGTGGAATAGAGGGAAATGTCGCCAAAGCATGCGAAGAAGGGAAGCCAACGTGCCTGCTCTGCAACGGAAGGAACACAGGACGTGAACCTCCGGCTGTCGAGCTTTTCGTAGAGCTATGTCCTGAAGACGGAAGGAAATCAACACCGCAAGCAGAGCAAGGGTAGATGAAGGGGACCAGGTAGAAGTCGAACAACCACTAGATGGCGAATAAACCCACTAACAGCAGAAAAACATTAAAAGTCCTACAACTTAACTTAAATAGGTGTAGGGCAGCGCATGACCTCCTGCTAAAAACAATGCATGAAGAACGCATAGATATTGTGACAGGACAAGAGCCAAATACACGAAACCAAAGAATAGATTTTAGTGATACATGTGATACCTTCATAAATACCAGCAATAAGCATAGTGGGAGAAGTAGTTTTAAGCAAGTTTAATGCAAAAACGCCGGCAATAAACTCACGAAACAGCAACTTAAGGGGCAGAATGCTAGAGGACTGGATGGCAGCGTAATAAACGAGGGAAGTAAACTAACTTTCAGTAGTGCGCAAGGAACCTCCATAATTGATTTTACGGCAGCAACCGAGGATATACACGTGAAAAGATGGAGAGTGCAAGAAGAAAACGAGAACCTGAGCGACCACATCACATTCACTTTTGAGTTTCAGTGGGAGACAAGTACAGCTACGTCAGAACCATCGAACGGAGGTAAAAGAGGATGGCACGTGGAGGAAGCGAGACTTAAAAACTTCACGAGAGATTGTAGAGAGATGCTACGAGATGAAATGGATGTCACACCCGAAATGCTAGTGAAAGAATCATTCAAAAATGCAATGAAAACTTCCAAAAAAGAGGCAAGGGATACCGGGTAGAGACCCAGCGTATTGGTGGAACAGTGACATAGCAACAAAAAGGAAGGAATGCATCAAACTAAGGAGAACGGGTACAAGAGCACGAGCAAAAACTGGAGAGGAGGAAAAAGAAAGGATAAAAGAACAGTACAAGGCAGCAAAACAGGATTTGAGAAGGCTAATAGGAAAGGGCAAACATGACAAATGGAAACAGCTGATAGAGGAACTAGATGAGGACATATGGGGAAAGGCCTACCAAATCGTGGCAAAAAAATTAAAACTACGATCGAGGACACCAGTAGATGAAAAAACGGTGAAAGACCAAGTCAAAAAGCTATTTCCGCAAGGAGAGCGAATAAGGCACGAAGTGGAGACGGTACCAGAAAATGAAATACAACTGTTTACTGCGGAGGAACTCAAAGAATCAATTGGAATGATGAAGAAGAAAAGGGCTCTAGGGCCGGACGGAATAACTTCAGTGCTACTAATGGCGGGTGTCGATGCCAATCAAAATATATTTCTGAAAGTTTTCAACAGCTGCCTTAAGAAAGGGGATTTTCCTGGAATATGGAAGAATGCCAATTTAGTTTTGATTGAGAAACCGTAAAAAGACCGATGGGATTACTTGCGTTTAGACCTTTATACCTCATCGATGCCATAAGCAAACTACTGGAAATGTTGATTTAGGTGAGGATGCAGAAGGAGTTCGAATAGAAAAAGATATGAATCACGCAGACCAATATGGTTATACCAAGGGCAAGTCTACGATAAGCGCCATAGAAAGAATATACGAGATCAGGGAGCAGATAACACAGAAAGCATACAAAAACAAGGAGATATATTTGATGATACTATTAGATATAGAGAATGCTTTCAACAGCGCTTCTTGGAAGGAAATAACGAACGCATTGAAGAAGAGAGGCACGAAATACCTGATTAGAGTAAAACAGTCATATCTCTCGGAAAGAACAATCACAACCACGAACGGGGACGTGCACGAAATCACATGTGGGGTAGGTACCACAGGGATCAGTTCTGGGATCGATTCTATATGGAATGCCTTCTATAACAGAATTCTTCAAATTAGAAAGGAAAAAGGAATTGACTTGGTCGCTTATGCGGACGACTTCGCCATTGTCGTAATGGCAAAGACCGAACAACAATTGAAAGAGAAAGCGGAACGCGCACTAAGCCAAGTAACAGAGGAATTGGCTGGAATGCGCATAGCTCTGGAAAAGACGGAGACATTGATACTGGCTGGTAAAAGGCGAATAAAGGAGTTAGAAGTGACCGTGGGAGACGCTAGTGTAAAGACATCCAACTCAGGTAGGAGTGTTCCTTGATAGAGACCTCCGCATGACGGCTCACATAAAATACACAGCTGAAAGGGCCAACAAGATGGACCTTCTATATAGAATAATGCCAAGGGTTGGAGGAGCAAAAGAAGAATTATGGCCACAGCAGTAATATCAGCTGCCCTGTACGCAGCACCAACTTGGATAAATGCATTAAGATTTAAAAAAATATAGAAGCATGCTGGAAAGCGTAAACAGAAGACTGGCTATTGCGCTGGCCTCAGGATACAAAACGGTGTCAGGAAGAGCGATTGGAGCTGTTGCGAAACTACCCCCAATTGACTTGTTGGCACAAGAAAGCACAGAAATACACAGGAAGGGCAAAATGCAAAAAAATGCTGCAAGGGAAGATTTGATGGAGCGATGGCAGGAGAAATGGCAGACATATGAAGGATGGGCAGCAAATTTCATAAAGGACATCAAGCTATGGTGCCAAACAAAGTGGACGGACTTCTACTTAACCCTCCATTAGGCGCTCGGGTTTTTATAACATCATTAGTCGCGCTGTATCAAAGAGATACATGTACTAAATCATTGATAAAAAAATTGAACCATCTGATGAATTTCGGTTTTACAATTTCTATGTATTTATTCGTGTACTCAACAATCATTTTTTACTGAAAAAAAGATTCCAGAAGTAGGATTCTGTTTTCGCAGTCGTTGTAATTTGGCCAACCACGCCCGCCAGTTTTACTATACTATTATGTGGTCTCTTCCGAGTCAGCTTGGGAGGAATTTTGTGTTATCGAGTTCCATCTTCACCTAAGATGAACAGCATCTTGTACCATAATATGTATGTCGAAAAAATACCAAAAAAATAGTTACAATTGAAGAGCACCGATGGTAACAAGAAAAGTCGCGTTGTATTAGTCAGGTATAAAGCCGAGCGCACCCCTAGTTTTTTGGAAATTCCAAATTTCCAAGTAGAGGTACGACCATGTAATTTTGGGAAAGTAATTAGTATAGGGTACCTAAGGACTACTACAAGCCATAATATTATAGGGGTTTTCCTTTTTGATTTATTTGCAAAAATAATAGGCATGTATCTCTCAGATACACGCGCGACTAATGGAAGGTTAACGCAGGCCTTCATTGGTCATGGAATTTTTAGGTCCTATCTGAAGGAAATAAAGAAGCAGCCGACCAGTCAATGGCTGGTTTTGTGGCGACGAAGAAACGCCAGAACACACACTATTTATCTGTGATAAGTTTGAGAGAACAAGACTGATTGCGGAACTGAAATGTGAAGTAAGAATAGATAAGGGCAACATATCAGAACTGCTACTGCAGAGCGAAAGTAACTGGAAGAGCATCACAGAGATGCTACGCAGAATTATGAAATTAAAGGCGGAAGAGGAAACGAAACGAGAGAACGAAAGAGCATGATGCGTTTTTGCTTGCAAGAAGACAAATTGTTTGCCGCCCCTCCGGAAGTAATATTGAAAAGTGGTCCCGGGAGGGGGACCTGCAAAGAGTAGGGGAAGGGATTTAGTGGTTGAGAGTCTCACACTCCCTAGGGCGCCAGAACACCAATGCCCTAGGTGTGAATAATGTATTTCCAACCCCTACTATAAAAAAAAAGAAAAAAAAAAGGATTAGATCTTTTCGTCGAAAATACCAACAGATACAGAGATCAGCACTCATTATGATACATTTGGCAACGGTATCTCCAGCTCGAGATCTGAATATTGATAACGAAAAGGTAAATGCAGATTGATAAAAACCTTTAAATTTACCTGGTTACAATAGGGTAGTGGACAAGGTAAAATTTCAATGAAACCGATGAGCTATTGTTCATCTATGGAGTAAATGAAAAATATTCCTATTGAAAAAAATTTCAGAAAAAAATGCTAACTTTGTTTAAAACGATTGTCAAAGTAGAGTTTTGGGACGCACTATTTAAACGAAAATATTTCGCGCCTTGATTCTACGTCATAGCTGTTGTATTTGAGTATGAAATGAATCAAACCTTCGTCCTATATCCGACACACACTTACTCATTAGTGCAAAAAAGAGAGATATATTAGCGTCTGTCGGGCGCACCCTCAACTTAACACCACTTTTTGAGAGATTTCGATTTGTCAATCAATGCGCACTGAGCTTATCTGCATCTTTTTCTAGAAGCATGTAAAATATAAGGACGCACTGACCGCGCCCTCGCCCACTCTTATTAATGTCGGAATGCCTTGACACTATAAGACATAACAGCTATGACGTAATTTCCGGGCGGTAAATTATAGCGTTTAAAATAACTACAAATTTGTTTATTTTTTTTTAGGCATATTTTTGTTTTCTAAAATCAAAGAATCATCAACTATTATTTATTTTGTTATGGAGATTAATAAAAAACATATTTCAAAAAATTGTCCACTACCCTATTCGGGCTTCTAGTTGAACAAAACGTGCTCTTTGCTCGCACGACAACTCAACAAACTGGCGTAGATTTTCGTCTCCAGAAAGTTCTGAGTGGTTGGCTTACAAATACGAGGATTTACGACCCAATCCAAGTTTTCACCCCATAACCAATTAGGCCAGCAACCACTTGAGTTCCCAACGCCACTAAAATCCCAAAAAAGGTGAATGTTTCAAGGAACGCAGTAAAGAGGATCGCCGGTAAAATCTGCTTTCCCAGAATTCTGTGGTTTCCAAGATGCACTCTGGTGCCAGATTTCCGGTCTTGGCCAGGGAAACGAAACAATCAGCTTGAAATGAACAACCCAAACCACATCGATGAAAAACAAAATTCAAAGTTGTTATTCAATTTTCTCCCCTAACCCCCCTTACTTGGTTTTTAGTCTAAAAACCATCAAAATAACCACCTGTTCAGAGATAGCAACGTTATAGCAACAAAGGTCAAGAAACCTCGGCAACAGCACTGCCTGAAATGGATCATAACCACACTTATTCGGCGAAAATAAATAGCTGGGAAAATGTAAATATTAGTGTAAATAAGGGTGAAAAAGTGATTTAAATGGTGTGAAAGTGATTTATGGTGTTGCAGAATTTTTAATAATGGAAAATACGAGACTCGTAAGTGTTACCATTCGGAAGTAAACAAACATTTTCATCAGTCAACAGTTAGGGCTTTTTAGACAACTTTCGTAAGCTAAATAAAATAGATTTCGATCCTCTATTAGTAGCACTTTATTATCCTAAAACTACCCTGTCATCTGAATACAAAGAATTAACTCAGTATTACCTTGATAAATATACCCTTGTTCAACAACCACCTATTGTTTCGCATTCAATCAAAAAGGTAGAAAACTAGTAAAATGCAATGAGAAACCTATCAATCACCGAAAAATATTAATCATCAGGTATGAAGCTTCATGAATACCCTCACAAATACCTGAATTAATTAGTGAATTTATTCGAAATCCATAGTTACGTACTAAAGGCAAAATGTGTACGTAACATTATAGTCCGGGAGTTAACGACATATTTCATTGTACCATTTTCGCAAGCTTCATTCTTTTTGTATGTGTTATGCGTGTAGTATATGATAGTAATATGAACGTCTGCCGGCGCACCAACACGAAAGGGGGTTACAGGAGGGTTACAATTACAGCAAAAAATTAACGAAAAAAACTTAAAGCCGCATAAGCGAAACTTATTGTACATATTGGTAGAAACGTAGAAAGCTCAGAAAATATGGTCTGCCACCTAAATTCCACAACAAAAGTCGTCTGCCAACCACATAAGTAAGCGCAAAAAAAAAAATTAAAACAAAAAATATACTCGTAAGGCTGAAATTAATTAAAATACTTCTTTTTATGGAAACAAACACAAACATATTAGTCTGCCACGAATAAGATACAACGAAGATCGTCTGCCAAGTCTATGAAGTTGGGTTCGGCATGCAGTGCCCGAGCACCACCGCTAGGACGCTGCATTTTTTTCTTATTCCTGTTTATTTTTTAATTTTTTTGTAAGGCTAACCAAAATGAATTGTGAAAAGCTCAAGTCTAATGTTCTAGATTTCTTAAAGAGATTATAGAAGGATTCATCACATACACTCAAAATGGAAATAAAAATTTTCACTTGGAATATTTATTTTCTCTTTTTGACACTTGTCAAACTCACTGTGAAAATAATTAATTTCAGCCTTGGTATATTTTTTTTTTAAATTTTTCACTTATGTGGGTGGCAGACGACTTTTGTCGTGGAATTTAGGTGGCAGACCATATTTTCTGAGCTTTCTATGTTTCTACCAATATGTACAATAAGTTTCGCTTATGCGGCTATAAGTTTTTTTCGTTCATTTTTTGCTGTAATTGTAACCCTCCTGTAACCCCCTTTCGTGTTGGTGCGCCGGCAGACGATCATATTACTATCATATACTACACGAATAACACATACAAAAAGAATGAAGCTTGCGGAAATGGTACAATGAAATATGTCGTTAACTCCCAGACTATTACTGTTTGGGAATTTATCGCCCATCAACGTTAGTATGTTCAAGTAATGAATGTTTTTCACATACAAACAGAGTCAGCTAACAACTTTATTTCATCACCAGTGCTATGATGATTAACATTCAATCCTTACAAATCCAAAATGAATAGTGGGATATATACATTACCAGTTGTAGATAAAGCTGTTTATTTACCTGGTGAGTAATAGAGCCATATCATAATGATTAGAGCTATCTTCGGGATTATTGATTTTAATAGCCCAATCACAAAAGCTTCTCAGAGTTTTACCAGCGTCTTTGTTGATTTCTAAATCGATTTCTTCTTCTTCTTTTTCGAGATAAATTATTCGCACGATAACTACGTCAATTTGGTGGCCTACTGACGAGTCATGATAATAATCGGAAACCTAAAATTATTTTTGATTAGAGTGACTGGTGCAACACTACCTCATACACATACCATGTTCATGATTGTCATCACATACAACTCTACATCTTTGCCTTTATGATGAAGCATAAATTTCTTGTCACATATTACACCTACTTCCAAATATCTGTCTGAAGTAGGAGCGGTCCTTTTTTCTTTAAATATATCTTTGCCTTTCTTGAGTTCTTCCCTTGCAAATAATAGAAAATTAAATCGAAACACATGGAGTATTTTGAAGAGTTGTTATACCTAAATCTATTCTTAATAGCTTCTTCCCAAGACGTATTTGTGCCACAAAAATGCCTATTATCATTAGGCGCTCTATCATAGACAACGTGTAAGTGATGTCCCTTGGAATTCGGAGAATGTTCATCAACAGGTTCAATGTAGTACTTTTTGTTGTTGATAACAATATAGCCTGCCTAAAATGAAACGTGCTATCAAAAATACTTCAAAATTGCCAAAGAAAACCAATACCAAACCGTCACAAGTCGAAAGGGCCGCTCTGGATTCAGGCATGTCTTTAACTCGTCCAGTGTAATGACAAAGTCTCTTATTTTTCAAAGTCCTGACTTGTCGTTTTTTAATATCGACTTCTGGGTCTCTACTTTCAGCTACTAAACCGGGATGTAAAAATTGTCTGTTGGGCCATAGTTCGAGATGATGCAAATCATCGTTTATTAGAATACCTGATGAGGACAAGCTTCTTTTATTTTATAAAACAATGTTTAGTTTAGTAAATCAAGTGAAGAAATAGTAATACACTGAACTAGTCCTTAACAAAACCAATATTTTTACCATAATGAATCATTTCTGGATCATCTGCTGTGCGTTTTTGCCTATCCTTGTACCGTTCCATTTTATGGTCGTGGTAATGAGGCAAATAAAAAGTTGAAAATTCACCATCCGGCGTAAGCTTATGCGGAATCGATAGGTGGTAATCTTTTATGGATTTTGTGTATCTTCCTGCAAACGAAAATTAAATCTCGATCAAAGTGCATGTCTGTCAAGCAAATTCGAATTACGAGTAATTAGCACCACGGATTACTTAGTTGCACCTTGAAAACGGGCGAATAACGAATTAATTCCGGGCATTAAATTCATCGGTAGGTAGTTCAAAGAAAATGCTTGACAGGTGACAACTCTCGGGCGGGTTTTAATCTTTATTGAGTTCATTAAGAGTCCATTTCGTATGTAATTCTGTACCTACCCAGAGAGCATTTTTATAGCGTTAAGTGTCGATATATTAGAATTGCGTTTAAGATTCACAAAGTTTATTTAAGTAAATTTTTGAAGTGCTGCTAACTAGTATTTAAAATATGGTTTCAAAAACAATGTAGGTAGGGTAGGCTTAAGCAAGCAAACTATTTTCCATATAGGTATTATGATTAAATGGTAACAGGACGTAGGTATGCTAAGCTCCGGATGTAAAATATAATAAAGTATAATTTTTAATATAATAACATTCATTTGTTCGTAATTTATGGATGGTGCAGAAGCACAATAAAACGAATCAGGCAGGAAAAAAGACGACATAAAATATAGTTTCTTATGGAGTATAATCAAGAGGCAGTTTGCCGTTACTAACATAATAATTCTTAAGTTAAACTAAAGACGTTGATTGGTTAATGCTTTAGCTCTGATGGGAATCGGGTATTTTTTGTGAAGTGAAGTAGCAAAAGCCAAGGTGAAAAAATTATTGATGATTTATTATGCCTCTATATTATTAAAATTTCCATCCCAAAAATACATTGCACAACCTTATTGACACCCAATAAAAAGAAAATTTATGCTAAACGAATACCTATATGCAAACGGTAGATAAAATGCACTTAGCACCTTAAAAGCTGCTGTCAAGTCTTTTCTTTGTACCTATCGCTTAATTTAATGCTTGTCGTAAACACGACAATTCGTTATTCGCTATTTACGACGTGTAACGTGAGCAATTAATTGCTGGTAGGTAATTAATATTTGCTGCTGTTTTTAAATTTACTAATTATATAAGGGGAAAAGGCGTAACCAAATACAGTTATTGGAAAATTTGAAAATTTTTAATCATAGTTAATTATATATTATCTTATCACAAACCATATAGTGGGTTGTGATAATATATAGTTGTTCATAAAGAAAAAGAAGAAATCCCGTTTTTATTTCATTATCAGCTTTGTTGTATGGTATGTTTCACCCTCATCTGCTGTATCGAAATAATAATTGCATTGGACCCTCGGACCACTTACATTGACTTGATGGAAAAAGTAATGCAAACAAAAATCAGCTGGACAATAATTACTATTATACGTGGACAGGAAATAAAGGTTTTGAGTTTGATATATTATTGACACAGATGTAATTTAAATTAAAAAAATATCAACATGATTATTTATCATCACTATTTTGAAATTTGATTGAACGTGTTTGGTATTAGAATCTCACAATTACTCATATCGTAGATTTTGAGTGAACAGTTCTTAAACTTCTGGCAAATTATTTCATAGGAAGCTTAAATTGATTAGATTGTTTACTTGCCTATCAGCATTTGACTGGCCCGAAACCTAAACCAACAAGCCGCTCAGTCTATTTAGTTTCAAACTATAGCTTGTTTCAATCTGTGACTGATACGTATATTTGATGCAGAATATTATAGTATTCAAAAAGTAACCAAGTTAAATTAATAACAACATTAACAACAACCTATCCACCTTCGATATTTTTGAGCCGTTCTCATTACTCACATAATCGCTTACCCTTCAGCATCAAGAAAATTGAAAACGTTATCAGCTATAATTGATCGGCCAGCGTGAGCCAATGTGGCTTAAACTGAAGCCTTCGCGTATCAAGATCGCCTTGTAGCTGACAGACAGGACAAAAGAAACGCACGGTAGACAAAAGAGTATAAACGCCAGATGAGGTCACGAGCCAGTAATAGGCCAAAACGAAGAGATATCTTGATTTCATGTTTTGTGCGGTTTTTTTTTTTTTTTTTCTTATACTTGAACGATTGCGTGAGTCAGGATTTTTTTTGTTTTCAAGAATTAAGTGCGTATAGACAAATTGATTGACGTTAGAAATTATTTTTGGATTAAAGATCTCAGGTTTTTATTTGGTGAAATGAGACATCAGATTTTTTCAACGAAGTTTTTATCCATTAAAACAGTTGTGTCATCTTAAAGTATTGAAAAATAATAGATAGCTGAACGACTTTAACATCCACATCCGCATTTCGCAGTACCACCCCTTACTTCCATTGTGGTCCTGTAAATTCGATTCGAATTTTCATCATCCGTGCAAAGAATTCCGGGGTTAAAATATCCTCCCATTCGGGTCTCCGGAAGGAGGGTCACTAATTCCGTCGGCAATTTTTGCCTATAGGTAGCGACAAGTCCATGTCATAATATTTAAAAACGAGGCAATAGTGTCAAATTTAATTAGGCTCTCCAAACCACGTGATTTTTCAATATGGCGACCGTGGAAAATTTGACGTTTATTTGTTTATCTTGAGTTTGTTTGGAATATTTTCAATAGTAATATAACTAGTGCAATGGAAATTATTGATAATTTTTGGGAAATTTGCCCGAATGCATTTTTAGTTGAAAAAGAGCACGAGTGCACGTAGTGCACGAGTGCCTTCTTCAGTTAAAAACGCATGAGTGCAAATTTGTCGAAAATTATAAATATATTTCCATTGCACGAGTTCTATTTAATGAGAGAATTTCATAAATCAAAAATTTAAATTTTTTGACAAAAAATGTCAAAACACCAGTTTTCGCACCAGTTAGTATGCAATTATCTGATAATTTGCACTAGTGCAAATTATCGCGTAATTACAATATGATTGGTTCAAATCAACAATCAAAACATGTCAATTTATTGTTGGAATACCAGTTTTGACAGATGTATGAAATTCTCAAGCTAATTACAGTTTACTTTGTTATAATATACTTTTTGAGATGCAGAGTGAATATTTAAAGACTTGAATGCAGGAAAATCGGGATCTGGGCGAACGGTTAGTTTAAAAAAATGTCCAGATGACATTTTGATCCACAGTTCACATTAATGAGCGAATGAAGGCCTACAAAAGCTTAGATTCTTACGAATATTTCGAAATTGGCTTTATTCCAGATGCAGGAACAGTGGTAGTGAAAAATTTTCACGTTTTAATTGGAAAATTTTAAAACAAAGGGCAATGAAAAAAGCCTGACATCATCCTTGTTACCTTGTTGAAGCTACTTCCACAATCAACTTCAAGACCCGTTTATGGCATTTTTAATTGGAAGAAACACTAATGAAGTCAATAAAATAAAAAATAAACAGAGTTCATTCACAAAACAACCACAAAATGCACTTTAAAAAGCTTTCAATTATATAAAGTGCGTTTTTTTTTAAAGATAAAAGTCAAACTGACATTAGGTTGGCAATACAATGTAAAATTGTCAATGCTTTCAAATTTTTTATGTAGAAAAGGATGACAGGTCGTTGGAATGCCTAATTTGTATACCTAGTTGGCAGGCAACAGTATTGAGGTTATGGCGTCGAAAACCTCAAGTGAAATTGGCTCCGAAAAAATTGATAAAAAAGTGCGTAAACACACTGCAAAAAACAGTAAGTGCATCTGTAGATTGCATAACATGCAACTCTAGTTGCAATCCGAGCTGTGCAAACGAATCAAAAGTGGTAAATAGGGGAGATAAAGTGATTTGTTGTCGAACAAGTGAAAAAACTGAGGTTAGAAAGTTCGAAAACAAGAATAAAAATTCACAAAGTGAAAAAGAAATGGACGAAAAGAGGACATCGGAACAAATAAGCGATATGTTTAAGAGGTCTATTGGACCTTTCAAAAAAGCTATTGAAGATGAGATGAACAGCTTCAAGGATTCAATGCAGTTCTGAGCAGCAAAATTCGATGAGTTCAAAGAAACCACTGAAAACATTGCGGAGGAAATAAAACGTGTGAGAAATGAGAACCTTGGGCTTAAAAATCGAGTTCAATTGCTGGAATCCAAAATAAATAGCCAAGAACAGCGAGAAAAACAAAAAAAAAAACCCATATTAGTTGGGGTACCGGACCAACCGGTCAAATGAAGACACCAAGGGAATAACTAAAAAGATACTCAGTACTATGAAGGTCAACATTAACATTGAAGACATAAAAGAAGTAAATCGCATTGGAAAACAAAAGGAAAACACTCCTATTATTGGAAACAAGCACCGCTAGGCAGGGCAGGAAATATTGGAAAGAGTGAAAGAACTGCGTGGAATTAAGATACAAGAATGCGGGCTACTCGGACAAAATAGAAACATCTTCTTCAATGAAGACCTTACACATCAGAACCGCAGATATTATTCAAAGAAGTACGAGAATACAGGCTAGCCAAGAAATACAAAAGCGTATTTTGCTTAAATGGTAAAATCGAAAAATCGAAAGTGGAATTTTATTGGCTAGAAAAGGATTATACTCCGCCCTAGGCAGGACCGTCTTAGGTTGTTTTGTATTTCTCTTCTCTGAATATATTTCCGAATGAATTCTTCAGCGGAATCTGTTGAACTTGATCTTGTTTTAATCTAAATTGCTCATTAATTAACAATAATTCACCAAACACTATTTAAATAAAGAAAATTTGTGGAAATTAAAGTCAAAGGAAAATTGAAAAAGTTGGGGTTTGTGCAGGATTTGAACCTGCGACCTCCGCATTGCTAGTACGACACTCTACCAACTGAGCTAACAAGCCCGCCTGGTCAATTTTCCTTTGACTTTAATTTCCACAAATTTTCTTTGTAAAACTAGTTTCGGTACCTATAACCGACAAAAATTCTCCCTTTGTTCAACTATGCTTACGTCGCATGGCGTACATAAGAAATTTTAACACATCGTGGACGAAACCTGCACATAGTGGTATAGGTGACTTACCCTAGCAGGACCGATGCCACATTCGTGAGCCATTGGAAAATTGAAAAACGTTTGGGGTGAG